TGTTTCCTTTAAAGTAAGAATTCTGAGAAATTTACCTTGTCTGTGCTTTCTCTACCAAGAAGAAAAGTCCTGTGACCTTGAAGCTGCAAGGGGCAAATGAGTGGGCGCTGCCTGTTTGGTTAAGGTGGCTCGGACTTGCTGGACCTGGCTCCCACTGGGAGCATCTGGGGTTTGTGTTCCTTTGCGACCACTCAAGCAATAGGATCAATTCCCACCCCACCCCCCAAATTATCCAGGTACTTACAGTGGAGTAGGGTGCTGCTGAGGTATAGATGTCATAGGCTCAGGAGACAGTCTCAGATAATTATGAGTATGAATCACACATTTAAGTTTCTACAGCTGTCTTTAGAGTTGCGAAGCACAGGATGTGTCTAGTCGGCATTTCAGCACCTGCCCGACTTGTGACTCACGTTCAAAGGGAATGATTGAGCTGAAAGTGAATTCTGCATACCAAGATGAACTGATATCCTGGGCTATAGAAATGGAGGATGAATACCAACCAGGTCCTTCCCTGAATGTTTGGGTTCCTGATCAGATTTCTGAAATTGGAACATGTCATAAAATGCTGATCGTAGCTGAGAAGCGGTGGAATTCTAACTGAGATGTGAGTAGTGTATTAGTAAGTGTACACAGGGGTTTGAAGGCAGAGCCAGATAAGAGGTTTATCAGGCACCTCCTACCCCAGCACTCTCGTTTCTGGTCCTTCCCTTTTGTCCACTTCCTTGCCAAGACTGTCATCGTCTGTCTGGTCTATAAATACTATATTGATAATTTTTCCATCCAATCTCCTTCATCAGGGAGACGGGACTATAATTTTATCCCCCCTTTTGTATCTTTATCTGGTAGTGGCATCAGGGCCATGCTGGTTTCATACAGAGTTCATGTGGTCGTTTGAGAAAGATTGCTGTGAATTCTGCTTTAAAGCTGTGACAGGATTGCGTAGAGAATCCATTTGACCCTGGACCATTTGTAGCCTGGGAGTTTGTGTGTATGCACACATGCGTTTGTGGTTGTACGTGTGCGGAGGCTGGAGGACAACCTTGGGTGTCAGGCCTTAGACATCCTTCTCCTTGTTTCTGAGATGAGATCTCCCACTGGCCTGGAGTTTGCCAAGTACCATAGGCCATCTATCGTACTTTTGGGGATCTTCCTGCCTCTGCCTTCTGACTGTTTGGAATTATACCAATATGCTTGCTTATTTTAATTTTTTTCATGGCATTTCTTTTGCTTATATTTTTCCCTTTCCCAGCTCCTCCCCACCTCTCTACTTCATGTTTTTTCTATTTAAAACTCAAAAATCAACCCCCCTGAAATCAAAAAACAAAGAAAAACCCTGTAAGATGGGTGTAGGGGTGGGCAAATAAAAAGCACCCCCAAATTGTGAGTCCATTGTGCATTGGCCACCTACTCCTGGTCATGGGCCCTGCTTCGGAGTGTGGTTGATACATCCAGTGACAGTCAACTGGAGAAAACTGATTTTCCCTTTCCCAGCAGGTATCAGTCACAAATAACTTCTTGGTTAGGGGCAGGATAGCCTCTCTCCATGCTGGGATTTTGTCTGGTTTGGACTTATGCAGGCCTTGTGTATGCTGTCAGTCTCGGTGAGTTAATATGCGATCAATCATGTATCAGGAAGACACTGTTTCCAAGGAGCCGTCTACCACCTCTGGCTTTTACACTCTTTCTCCCTCCTCTTCGGCATGGATTATGGAGCATTGGGGCAGGGGTGGGGTGTCGATAAGGATCCCATTTAGGGCTGAGTGCTCTAAAGTCTTGGACTCACTTCACACTGTTCAGTTTTTGGTCTTTGTGTTGATTGCCATCTACTGCAAGAGGAGTCTATTCTGGTGAGGGGTGAGTGATACTCCGATCACTTCCCATCCTCTGACTCTAAGGTGAAGTGTGTTTCTTGGTTGCAATAGAAGGATGAGACCTGTTTTCAAATCCAGTCGTTTGATCGGTGACTTTTTAGTGGGAGAATTGAGACCATTAATATAGAGAGTTATTGATCAGTGTTTATTAATTCCTTCATTTTGTTGTTGTGGGTGTGTTCCCCCTCTTTTGATTAACTATTCTTGGATTATATATTCTTTGTGTCCTCGGGTATAGTTAACCTCTTGAGACTGAAGTTTTCCTTCTAGTGCTATCTGTAGAGCTGGGTTGGTGGACATAAGTTGCTTAAATTTGTTTTATTGTGAGCTGCTTTTCTTGCTCCATCAATTGTGATTGGTAGTTTCGCTGGGTAGAGCATCCAGGCTGGATCTGTGGTTTTTCATGCTTGTAGAACATCTATCCAGGCCTTTCTGACTTTCAGAGTTTCCAATGAAAAGTCATCTTGAATTATTTTGGTAGGGCATATGCATTTAGAGGCCACTCATCTCTTTTAGATTTTCCAGTTTAAGGAGGTATGTTTTGTTTTTAAACAGGGTCTCAGCTTAGAGCTCTAGCTGGCCTAGAACTTGCTTTATTGACCACATTGGCCTTGAGCTCATAGAGATCCACCTGCTTCTGCTTTCTGCATGCTGGTGTTGAAGGTCTCTGTGACCATGTCCATCTAATGGGATATGTTAAGGTTTGTCATAATGATTCTCTAAATTTCCTTGGTATCTGTTGTAATTTCCTCTTTTTTGGTTAGTTTATGGACATGAAAACCTTATTTGTCTTTTCAAAGAACTAACTCTTGGTTTCTTTGATTCTTTCTTTTCTTCCTCTCATTTTATTAATCTCTGTCTTCCCATCTACCATTTCTGGGATTGACTTGCTTTTGCTTGTTCAAAGCATCACTTATTTATTTGAGATTTCTCTGATGGTACCTAGAAACTCCTACCCCCCTCCCCCAGAATTTCTGCTATGTTGTGTTTTTCCTTGCGCTTAGTTCTAGGAATTTTTGAATTTCCCTCTTAGTTCCTTTGGTGACCCACTCATCATTCCATAGTGTACTCTTAAGGAGACTAGGATTCCATACTCCCTTGTTCTTGTTAGTGGACACAGGAGAGATTTCTGCCCAGCTCTTTTAACATGCGGAGGTTGTTTTCTACTGAGTTGTATACAGAGGGTTGCGCAGGTACAGGTGTCAGTGAGTTCTGGATTAATCGGTGCATAAATGAGATATATGTTCTTGGTGTTCAGTTATTGGCCTCTTTAGATGATGTCTTTGACACCCATCAATATAGTCTGTCCATCTGGAGTCTTATAGTCTCTGACACAGAGTGGCCAGTCCCTTTGGGCCAGACTTTTAACTGTCGTCGTTTACTCTGGGTCCCTTTTTTTTTGAAGTTCAAGTGTTCAGTTTATGTCTGCTTTTAGTTTTCCAATGCTTCTAAGACTTAATTGCTTTTTGCCTGGAATTTTATTAAATACAGAAAGGTTGGTTTGAAAGAAACAACATTGCAGTTATTTTCAGTAGTTCTGTAAGTTGAGATATAGAGCTTAGTCATTCAGCTCAAACACTTTTTATGATTTCCATTTTTTTCTTTTTTGAGCTGTATATTAGAGATATGCTTTTAGTAAGCTTCCTAGCACAAACTCTGAGATCAGAGAAGACTGGGCACGGTCAGGGTGGTATGGCCAGAGACCTAACACAAACTTCATTGCATCTTCCTTCTCCTTTTCCTTTTCTTTCCCTTTCTTTTATTTCTTTTTTTTTTATTGCTGTGATGAAATAACCTGATCAAAGCAGTTTAGGAGAGAAGGACTGTCCATCATAGTAGGAAAGACATGGCAGCAGGCTGGAAGGAGCCGGAGGCTGGCTGGTCACCTTGCATCTTAACCCAAGTACAGAGGGAAGAGGAAGAGGGATGACCTCACAGCTTGCCATCAGAAACCTGTTTCATTCAGAAAGGCTCCACCTTCTCAGGGTAGCACATTCTTTCCCAACAGGGCTGCTAGCTTGGGCGTGAGGTTGGTGGGGTGAGGTGATGGTTTTCAAGCCATGAGCCCAAAGGGAATATTTTACAATCAAACCACAGCAAAGTAATTAGCTAGCTTTCTTGCTTCCTTCCCTTCCCTTCCCCTTTATATTTCGTTTTTCTCTTGAATATTGGGGCTTGAGCCCAAGGCCTCTTATATTTTAGGCAAAAGCTACAGAAAGCCACAGCCCCACATAAAGATTTCCTTACTTCTTTTTGTTACTGACTTCTAGTATAACCCCACCAGGGGACATACTCTTATAAATAATTCTTACTGAATTTGCAATTTGACAATGTCATACATGTCCGAAGTACATCCTGATTCTACTTCCTATCCTCTGTCTCCACTTCTCCCAATAAGTCTCTTTTCCACATCCAAGTCGTTTGCTCTGAGACATGCTGGATTTGATTTTAATCGTTTGGTAGCGCAGGATATGGCTGGTCCATTCCTGTCATTATTGGAGTTCTCGGCGTAGAAGCTAGCATCCTGCGTATGTCAGATGAGTCCCATCAGTTATTGTGTTATAGCTATATTTTAAAAGCCCCTTCCTTTTCTTTTTGTTGTTGTTGTTGCCCAGATAGTATCTCAAAAATCTCACACTGAACTATGTACTTGCTCGTGCCCCCACTTAGTCGTGTCAGTGACTCCAAACTGCTTGGCGCTCATTGTTCTGTGTTTTCTCAAGTCTTTGTGAATTCAACCCTTCAACAATATGAATTTTGCCCTATTAAGTCTGGCAGGGCTTTTCCCCTTAATGTCTGCCATTGGACAGCGTGATGTCTATTTTCTCTTGTTATGGTTTTTACTGTATAGACTTTTAATTATGATTTTCCCATCAAATAGCAGGATTTTGCTTTTCAAAAGAAAACCTCAGTGTGACAGTGTTCCCTTAATTGGCATATTTAGGTTTGTTATGTTTCATGCTGTTATGTTCTGAACCAGTTACACTGCGGTCTACTGTTTCTCTACCTGTTTCTTCATCCCACCCAATTACCAGATGTATTGTATATTACACTGCTTTAATTTGCTACTTTAGATTTATTTTCTATTTCTTTTCTTTATATTATTATTATTAATTTATGTTTTTAAAGGAAAAGATAGAGTGTTTAACACCCCGTTGTGTGAACAAGGAATTGTTGGATTTGGGATTGGAATTGCCGTCACTGGTGCTACGGCCATTGCGGAAATCCAGTTTGCCGACTATATCTTCCCTGCCTTTGATCAGGTAGGTGCCTTCTGCTTTGCTGGGACAGGCATCTCGATCCCTGAGTGTTCAGACACTGGCTCTGCCCACCCATCCCCGCCTTGCCTTCAGCACCTGTTGCCTCACGGTGGTGTTCACAGTTGCAATAGAAATGCATTTGAAGATCCAACGGCATGCTTTTAGGATATGCACTGGGCAGGAAAGAGTCACTGTAGCGTGTCCCTTCCCTCTGCAGATTGTCAACGAAGCTGCCAAGTACCGCTACCGCTCTGGCGATCTTTTCAACTGTGGGAGCCTCACCATCCGGGCCCCGTGGGGCTGTGTGGGTCACGGGGCTCTCTACCATTCTCAGTGTCCGGAAGCCTTTTTTGCCCATTGCCCAGGAATCAAGGTATTCTTGTTTACTTCCTTTATTTGGTCATCATTTGATGTTTCCACCTTCGCTTACGCTGTTAGTGTTAATCAATGACCTTCCCTGAAGGAAGACAAACAGGACTTTGGAATTGATAGGAAGTTAACTGTATTTGTGAAAGGAGGGTAGCGTTTCTTTTTAAATTAACTTGCTGATGCCCAGTTTTCTAGAATGTTTTTCCTGAAGCAACACTGGCATGATGCTGGCATTAATTGACTACAGATTTTAAGGTGTATGGCATTCTCCTAAAGCTCCAGTTTCTTCTTTCTCGTGTGTTTTTCTCTTTGAACTCTTCTTGAGGTACATTTAATAAAACCCACTGTTCAGTCAATATTTACCTCAAAGTTATGTGTGTTTATAGCTCAGTTTTCAGTTTTTACGCAGACAGAGAGAAAGCTGTTATATAGATGGGAATCTTTTCCAATCTAGAGTATAGTAACTTCCCAGTCTTCTTGGAAGAGTCTTTCTCCTGTAATAGCATAAGTCTTTTGATGTTGCAAATGTTTCATGTGTTTGTCTCTTGATATTCACCATACAACTTTCCAGGGAATCATAGAAACTCACAGATGTGTTAACCAGAGAAACATGTTTGTTTTTGACAACATTTATCAATTATCAATATGTTTATATTTTCCTTATTTTTTTTTCTGCTGGCTCATAATAGTAAGGTGTGGCCCAGTTGAAGGGAGGCTGCATGCTTTTCTGATAAAAGCTAGAAATGGGAGTTTTGGACAAGAGCCCCTCTGAGGCAACACTTATTTTTGAGTTTGAACTGGATGTTGATCATACTTAATGTTTACACCATATGCAAGAGTTTTTAAATAACAGAACTTTTAATCTTCTACTTCTTATTTTTAAACTTGAAATATAAAACTTTATATTTTATAAAAATATAAAACTTGAAATATATTTTATATATAATATAAAATATAAATATACATACTAAAAGGCTAATACAAATAACTATATGAAGAAAGCGAAGAGAAACTGAAGAGAAGCATAAAGGCATTGTTTAATGAGGTTAATAAAGAGATTTATACAGTTTTATTTATTATTATTATTATTACTACTATTATTATTATTTTTTGACTCAAGGTTTCTCTTTGAAACAGCACTGCCTGTTCTGAAACTCACTCTGTAGACCAAGCTGGCCTCAAATTCATAGAGATCTATCTGCCTCTGCCTCTGCCTCTCAAACAAACACCTTCAAGGTGTTTGATCTTTGTCGTAGGTCCAGGCTTATTCTAATAATTCTTCCAAAGTAAAGTTTGTTCTTACCCCATTCTTTTAAAATCATGAAAGCTTAGACACAAAGTTGTGATTTGAGAAAACATGGTCAAGAGTGTGGTCTCCTGTGTGTATCAGAACTGAGTAAGAATCTCTGTCCTAACACGATCTGTGACCTTGGCAGTTTCCTTACCCCTCTGAAGACAACAGTCTCTGTTTCTAAGTGGGAAGAAGAATAGTAGCCACTTCCTGAGGTCACTGGGAAGGAGAGATGAAATGATCCTCTCAGAGTGCTTTGCCAAGTTATATCATGTACTTCCTGCTGCCTCTCATCCTCTTCAGCAGCCCCCTCCTGAGTCTCAGAGCCCTTGCCTGTCCACTGTCCACTGTCTCTAGTCCACACTAGAGATGTGGGCTAGCCATACTTTCTCTTGTCTGGGCAGCTGGATGCTGTAATATCTGGTCCCCAAAATTCAGTGGATCGCCCTTTCCCTTAGGATGCAGGTTGCAATTGCCCATTAGAACAAAGGGGACTGTGGCACTTCCATTTGCAAGTGAGAGCAGAGTGTTAGTAGGAGGGGTGGCACTTCAAGGTGGACACTTCTCTTTAATTTCTTTTTATGTGCCTTGCGGGTTCTCTTTGAGCTATGGGCCAGGTGAGGGCCTGGAAGGAAGACTAGTATCTTAGTTATCAGGACATGGGAAGCATTATAGAAATACTTGTGGACAAAGAGATTTCTGAGGAACTGTGGTGTAAATTTTATAATAAATAGAAATACCCAGTCTTCTAGTTGAGTTGGTTACACTTGATTGGTTAAATCTCAACCCTTAGAAGTGAGTTTACTGGGGTGTACTTTACTAAAATTGTTTGTTTTTGCAGGTGGTGATACCCAGGAGCCCTTTCCAGGCCAAGGGTCTTCTATTGTCATGCATAGAAGATAAAGACCCGTGTATATTTTTTGAACCTAAAATTCTTTACAGGGCAGCAGGTAAAGATTCCTTACATTTTGTTTTGTGACTACCCTGGCTTTCTTTTACACGGTTAACATTTTAGATATTTCTCCTCCCTTGATTTCCCCTTTCCCTTCGGATTGAGCTCTGTGACATTTAACTTTGTCCTCAGATGTAAACTTTAGAGAAACCCATCTAGTTAGACTCTGATTGTGGAATGCGAAATGTTAACAAGAATAAAAGATCGTGTTGAGTTTTGTTTAGTCATTGTGGGCTGTATGGGAAAGTGAGGACACTTGTGCTACATGACATTGAAAGTCCCCTTTAGAGACGTGACCCTGAAGTTTCTGTAGGCCAGGGGACTCTGTGGTGAAGCAGGTACTGTTAACGATGGGTGGTGATATCAGTCTTCCCTGGCGGTCTTGGTTACCCTCCCTGTAGCTCGCCATCATAATTCTATGAGCACACATCTGTGACTGTTTATTTCTCAGCTGTAATGGAAAATTGAAATATCAAATGATTTATTCTGTCTAAAGTGTATTCCCACCCCCCCTTCAATTCAAGAACATTACTTTGGCAAGTTAGCTTTAAAACTACATGTCTTTGTTGTGATGTAATTTGTGTACACTAAAATACACAGCTATTGTGTTCAGTTTGATGGTTTTTTTGACAGCCCCGTATACTCAGATAGCCACTGAACAAAACAAATGCAGGACATTTTAATCAGTCCTGCAAGCCTTTCCCTGTTTGCTTTCTGCCTGTCCATCCGCTCAGCTGTAAGCCTAGTTGCTTTCTGATTGTGATTAGATTAGCTGTTCATGTTTCTGAGCTTTGTGGAGATGGAGTTTTACATATGGTCTCTGTGTTGTCTTCTTTTTCCCAACCTAGTGTTACAGAGATTTCTTCCACGTTATTGCCTGTGTCTAGTTCATCTCTATTGCTAAGTAGCAGTCTACTATGTGAACAGTCATTGTTGATTATTGTTACTATTGTGGTAATACTGCACAGCCATATACAATATTAGAACATTATTTAGTAAATGAACACTACCCTTAAATTGTATGAATAGTTATTGTTCATCATTATTATTACTGAATATATTTGTTATTCTTCTAAGAATAATTGTTTCTACTGAGGAAAGTGGGTTACTTCCTCTCCAACAAGCTAATGACCCTTAAATATTATTAATACATTGCACCTCTAGTTCTGGCTGTTAACATGATTGTTAATGAGTTAATTAGGAAATGCATCTTGGTAATGAAGAAAGAAGGTACCTGGAAATTGGAGGCGCCTGCAGTTTTGTTGTATTAGTATAAACTTAAGTGAATATTCATTGTATGAATCCACTGTCATTAATTGAAGGCTTATGCACTGGGCTCTTCTTTCACTTTTTCCATTTTGTTTTTGGAAACTGACTTGTATGCTGGTATGGTGTTGTTAGAAAAGAGAGATTTCCCCAAATCTGAAGTACTGTTATTTACATAATTCTTGGAATTGGTTTTTTTTTTTTTTTAAAAAAAAGGCTTCTAGACATAGATTTCCTTAGGAAGCTAAAATGTCAGTCATCTAAAAAAGTTACCTGTTGTCTCTCAAGAATTTGGCAGATTATTTTCACTTTGTATATGTATTGTCTATACTATGTTATTTTGGTTTGTGTATCTGTGTATTACTTAGGAAGCATATATTCCCTGACCATGAACTATTCATTTATTTGAGTACAAGTTAGTTTTTTTCTTTATATGTCTCTGTTCTCTTACGAAATGTTCACATAGATTTCTGTTTTTATTTTAGTTGTTTAGGAGAATTTTTTATCTCTACAAGTGGGACTGCAGTAAAAAGAACTTAATTTCCCTACTAAGAAGAGGGCCTTGATTACATGTTGAGTAGGGAGGGTAACCAAAGGTTTTCTTTTAACTTGAAGTGCAAAGTTACTTTTAAATTTGTTGACCTGTTTTCTGTGATTGGTAAACTGTACTCTTTATGGCATTGGGCCCAGTAGAGTTTTCTGGCTTACTTTCCAGATTTAGTTTGAGCATTGGACACATGTGTCTTTCAAATCTTAAGTTAGTTATATTCTTAGTGACTAAGCTTATGCCATGTGATAGAGTGTTGCATTTTGTTTCTGTGTAAAGTTTAGGATCATGAGTCATAGCATTTTGTAACAAGTTTACCCACTAAAGCCCCATAGTCATGTATAGTTTAGACACAGATTAAAAATAGCAAGAAGTCCCCCTTTCATTTCCTTTGTTCCCAACTCATTCCTTAGCTTTGGTTCTGTGTATTTATATTTCTCTGTACACATGACGAGGTGGAACATACTTGTTTTATGAAGCATAAAAACAATATAAGCACGTTCCTGTAATTTGCTTTGCAAAATCTTCTATAAATTTACAAAAGTCTATAAATGTATAGGCTATATATTCAAGTAATAAAGAGCAAGCTATAAATAGTCTACAAATAGCTTTTCTTTAAAATATATTTCTACACTGTACGGTGGTGGTGCATGCTGTTAATCCCAGCACTCGGGAGGTAGAGGCAGGTGGATCTCTGTGAGTTTGAGGCCAGCCTGGTCTACAGAGTGAGTTCCAGAACAAGCTCCAAAGCTACACAGAGAAACCCTGTCTCGATAAACCATATATATATATTCTTTGGGAACTTCATATATTGTGTTTTGCTTATATTCGTTCTCACTCCTACCCACCATCCCAATTTTGTGATTTCCCTACCCTCTTAAAAGCCCATCAGGTCCAATTTGTGGCACTTATATACTCCTGGGTATAGAGCTATGCATTTTCGCTTGGTGGATGAACCCAGAGTCACACCTTTAAGGAAAACCTTGCCCAGAAGCCATCAACAGCCAATAGCTCCTCATTTTCAGGTGAGGCCTCTTGAGACACACATCCATCAAATAACTTTTCGTACAGTTAATTTCTGTCAGTTAACTTAGGTGTCATTGATTTTCACTTCATAAAATATGTGCCATACCCTTCCCTTTCCCCTGCTAATGAACATTGAAATGCTTTTAAATTCTGGTTGTTTTAAACAGTGTTGCAAGAAAAGTATGTTTATATGTGTTTAAAAGTATGTGAGAAAAGAAAATTAGTCTGCATTAAAAGCATCTCTGCACAAAAATTTATAAATGTGTAGTCTGTCTACTCAAGTACTAAAGAGCAAGCTATAAATATTCTATGAATAGCTTTTCTTTAAATACATATTTCTGTTAGTTCATTGAGAGAATTAATTTGTTAATAGAAAAAATAAACATTCTTTTGTAAATTAGAAACTCATAAAATTGGTGCCAAGTTCTTTCCTGCTTTTTTTAATCCCCATGTATTCTTTGGAGCATGGAGCTTGAAGGCAATAGTATCTTGCAGTCATTTTTTCCAGGGGCCAGCGGTTGCTACTGCCTCTCACGTGCAAATATAAAAGACAATATTGGTTCTGTACTGAATAGGTACCCACAATTGAGAAAGTTCCAGAAAGCTGGATGTGGCGGCACACACCTCTAGTCCCTCTACTTGGGAAACTGAGGAATAAGAATGACTGAGTTCAAGGGCAGGCAAGGTTACATAATAAGACCTTCCAAAAACCTAATCAATATGCCCAACAAAAATTCTAGAAGCACTAGAAACCTACTCTTAACAATGGTTGTGGGGATGTGAAAATGTGCCGGAAATGAGTGAGTTATTCAATGGTTTACCAACCTGCAAAAGCATGAGGCTGTGCCTCATGCCTGAGATAACCTGAGTCTCTAGGGACAACTGTTTAATTCTTTTTTGGGGGATACATTTTTAAAATGTGTCACTAAGGCAGAAACCAGTGTTTTGTGGAGAAACATGAGTACTCATGATTGTAACTGCATGAGTGATTGACAACAGCTGACTTGGGAATGTGGAAGCGTTTTAGGGATAACCCAGTTTGTTAGCTTGTGTTTGGTTCATAGGTGTGTATCAAGCTGGTAGACAGGAAAACTCCATGTCGAATTTCCCTTCTTCTTTCCCGTCTTACCTGCCTTCCCTCCTTTGTATGTGCGCCCCATGTGCTGCAGAGGCCAGATGAGGACCTCTTGGGTCTGGTGTTACAGGTAGTTCTCAGCTGCCTGATGTGTGTGCTGGGATTCAAAACTGGACTCTCTATAAGAGCATTAAGCGCTCTTAATCACCAACCCTCTAGCCCCTATTTTTTTTCCCCGGTAAGAACAACGTTACTTAAACTAAAAATCAAAAATTCTGAAAAGGTGCACCAATTTATTGGTGCTTCTTTCTTACCAGTTTACAAACCAGTGTCCCATTTTAAATTGGCAGTTAACATAAACTTTTTGTACTTTAATTCTTGTGCTAAGCGATTTTTCTCTTCCCAGCTTTCTATTGCTGATGTTTAGTGAGTATAATTTAGTTTTTAATTATTTTCTTTGCCAATTTCCTTTGTGTGAAGTTTACATATTTTTCCTTGCTAAAGAAATCCATTTGAAAGTAAAATTCAAATTTAAATATTTATTACTTCTTTGAGAATTTCTTACATTGGATTTTTGATTATATTCATCCCATCCCCCATTCTTTTCTTTATCTACCCCCAATTTTACTCACACAACCCACAACCTATGCTTTTTTTTTTTTAAATAAATCATCAAACATCATTATTGTTGCCTATACACTGGTGTATGGCCACCTGCTGGAGCATGTGAGACCTGCTGGGGCCACACCCTTAAAGAAAGCTATTTCTCCTTCAGCATCTATAACTTACCAATAGATCTTCAGCTATGGGTGGCCCTGCATCCCCCCTCCTTGCTGTGGTTTTGTTTGATTTGAGCTTGCATAGATCTTATGCATCCTACCACAATCATTGGGAGTTCGTATGTGCAGATGCCCTGTTGTGCCTGGAAAATGTTTCCCTTTGCCTACCTCCTCTGGCTCTTAGTCTTTCAACCCCCTGAGCCTTGGAGGAGGGCACTGTGACATAGATGCACATTTAGGCCTGGAAACTCTGCAGTCACTTGTTCTCTGCACCTTGACTAATTGTGGATCTCTGCTTTAAGCAC